ATATATATAGAAAAGCGATAGGGTGAGATGGTGAGATGGTTTGTTTAATATGAGATGGCCATTCTACAACGTTAGATTCAAATTAATGGTTAGATTTAAACAAATGAGTTAATTAATAAAAGATATGTGGCTTTCACATTTATTTGATTTTCCTGTCAAATCTTCTCTAAGATTTCCTCCCTTCCGCCTCCTCTCTTTCGTACTTGGGTTTGGGCTAGGTTAGGGTTTGGGTTCGGGTTCAGGTTAGTTAGGGTTAGTCGGTTCGGGTTACAGTTAGGGTTCGAGTTGGGTTCGGGCTCGAGTTAGGATTAGTGGGTTCAGGTTAGAGTTCGAGTTGGGTTCGCGCTCTAGTTAGGATTAGTGGGTTCAGGTGTTTTTTAAGAAATGGTTTTCAAAGTAGTAGTATACTTCGCTATGGTTCAACTTAGACTACTGATTGAAGTAATGAAATTTTTACATGTTTTAGAAAAATAGGTATACTTGGTACCAAGCATAAATTTTGTGCTTGGTAGTGAGGTGTCTCATTTCCATTCACTCATTCAATTGGGGGGACCACATTCAACCCATGTGAATGTGATCCCCCTATATATATATATATATATATATATATGAGAAAAATAGGTATACTTGGTACCAAGCATAAATTTTGTGCTTGGTAGTGAGGTGTCTCATTTCCATTCACTCATTCAATTGGGGGGACCACATTCAACCCATGTGAATGTGATCCCCCATTTGAATGAGTGGCGGATAATATGCCACTTCACTACCAAGCATAAATTTTGTGCTTGGTACCAAGCATATCCATATTCCTCTCTCTCTCTCTCTCTATATATATATATATATTACTACTTAGGTTTCTTTAGTTATCAATTGAAATGATAATCCATATATCAACCAGAGTTCCCTTTTTTTGTGTATGTGTGGGTGCTCAAGTTCTCTTGTTAGTTACTCCCTGAGTTTCTTTTAGTTAGTGACTTATTGGATCATGATGATAAAAGTATATTATATTACATCTTTTTCAAATATTTGAAAATAACTCTAGAAAGCATTTTCGTATTACTTCTCCTCTAACCATTTTGTTATAAACTAGTGCTGAGCAAATGGTCGGTTTGGTCGGTTTTTATCATTTTGGAGCAAATCGAAACCGAACTCAGTTGCACAGCAACCAAACCGAACCAAATCGAGTTATATCGGTTTGGTTCGGTCGGGTGTTTCGGTTGTTTTAGTCTTCACCATTAAGCAACAATAGGAACGATAACTGCAACCATCAGAGGCCAAGACGCTCGCCATCAGAGCAAATACAAAAAGAAAAATTAGAATGAAGATAAGTTGGAAGAAGGAAAGAGAAATGGTTAGTGGGATTTTAGTATGACTAGGGACTCGTTAGAGGAAAAGATCTAACTTTCTTTTGAGAAAGTAGAACAAAATGAGCATATCCTATCTCTCTCAAATGAAAGACAGCTAGCACGCATTGAGCGGTAAAGAGATAAAGTAGCCAATTGGTGCATTCTAAACGGGTGTACATTTTAAGTGGCTATTCCTAAGTGCTATCGGTCGGTTTAGTCAGTACCGAATTTAAAAAAGCTTAAACCGAACCGACTGGAACTACTATAAAAATTGCACCGAATTGCTAGAGATCGGGTGGTTCGGTCAATTTAATCGGTGTGAACCGAACATTGCTCAGCCCTATTATAAGCAATTAGGTTAATAAAATATTTAAATTTCATCGGTTCTATATACGTATCATTCTATGTTTAATAATGTCCTCTAATTGGACATTTAGATGTTGCTAACTGGATGTATAAATTTCCCATTAAGCACTAGGTGACAAATTCTACTAGAGCAGTGATTACACTTGCACATAGGATTTCTTTCCAATGTGCTCATTCATCTCTTGCTGATAATGATCTTGCAAACAAGAAATATCTGTATAGACATATATCTGTTAGGGTCATTGGTCATCTCAAGTTTGTCATAGATCGAGATGGATTGTGATGATGGAATTTGTGGCTGCTATTAGTTCTTTGGTCATCACCTTCTCCATTTAGTTTTATCTATGTGTCAACATGGAAGAAGTAATAGAGATATACTAAGTTTCGAACATTCATATGATTAAAACATGATCTATAAACTAATTTTAATTATGCTACTGTTGATTGAGAAGATTTATTGTTGTAGAGAGTGTCTCGCATTCATTCAGTTAAGTGTGACTTCAATTAGTAAAAAACACGAGATGAGATCTAGTCTCATCTATGATAGAGAGTACGATTGACAGATGCTTAAATATGTTAGCACATGCCAACCGAAACCGATCATTGCACACAAATAGGCGATCTATGTGAAAGCATCACCGAACACCCTGATTAGATCTCCTTCTTTTTAGACCAATTGATCACCGAGCGATGTAGAAACATTGAGAAAACCTATTCATACTGCAAAGAATAGCAATATACTGCAGAAAAATTAGATCAAGAGACAAAGACACGAGATTTACGTGGTTCGGCAATCTCCTAGGTCCACGGGAAGAGAATTGAGTCTTCTTTTATACTAAAGATTACAAGATAATCTATTTTTGTGATCTAGATAGATCCCACATAAAACCCTCTATTAATCTCACCAAAATATCTCTCTCTCAAAAAAAAAAAAAAAAAAAAAAAAAAAAGCCTAAATCACTCCTCTTAGTTTTGTCTACTTCTCTCATGCAATATGCAACTCTCCTTGACAGCTGGGTTCCTTTCTAACCCTAGACTTAGAAGACTTATTTTATAGGCCCCAAAACCGGATGCATAACCCAATAGGAGTTTAGAATTCCAAAGCAGACCCAAAACAGTAAAACAGTTCAAAATCGGTCTGACTGGTCGGTATATGTGCAGAGAATTATGTCGGTCGGATGGGCTGGTCCTACCACCACTGCTCGCCTTTTTCCTTTTTCCTCTCGTTCCACTTCCCGCTTCGATTCCATATTTCCGTTGTCTTGCTGAAATACTAGGCTATTTTCCAACAAGATATGCTTGGACTGATGAGTCATGACACAAATAGGATTAATCATTTCGAGTCAATCGGGTCCAAGTAGATTAGCCTATTTCATCTCCTTAATGGTCCTTTCCAACCCCAACAATGATGGTGGAATCTGTATCTGCAATTAGTTATTATTCTTCACCTTCTTCATTGTAATATTATCTGTACAACAGAAGATAGTAACAGAAGTCTTGAACATTCATGTACTGAAAAACAGTAACTCTAGCTAAGTTTAATTATGATGTAATTGGTAATACATGTGTGTAACTGTTAGCACTGACATATATGATATTTCAGATGAGTTCATATAGATTTTTACCCCCGGTGATAAAGACATAAAAATCCCATTTTAGACATAGGATAAAAGTGGCAATATCTAATCTAGAATAGCCCTACTATTTGATCTAGAATAAGCTTCACGGACCATGAATACCACAATATTTATGTCTTTTAGAGCTGTTGTTATCTACAGATACATGCTTGCAGAATTGCGTACGAATGCACTTTTTATCTTTGACATGATGGAAACTCTTTTGCAGCTTGAATTTCAGTATGCAGAGCAAACCGATTCTCTTCAGCCCCCACACAAATATGTTCCATGGGTAGTAGTGAATGGGCAGCCACTATACGAAGTTAGTTTTCCTTTACCCTATTTGTTAATTTAAAATTTTTACTGTTTCTCTATTGGCTTTATGTAGATTTTCCTTCTACATACCTTCTAAAAATGTGAAAGTGGTACTCTTTATGATGTGAAAGTACTAAGAAGTCCTGCTTAAAATGTTGAAGGACATTTAGATACAACAAAGTCAGAAATTTCATTATGTTAGTAACCTGGTACATACTATAACAAAGTTGATGTCTTCTTATGTGTAAAGTCCGCATGATGTTCATAACGGAGGATTGCTTTATGATGAAATTTACATACTGCTTATTACCTGTGTGCTAGAGGAGTGTGTGCTACAGTATTAGTAACTGTTCTGCCATCAATTTAAGAACCGTTGTGCCCTTGCGGGAGCTTTATAGGACAAGCACGCATATGGTAATATTCATTCTAGAAGAAATTTTTTTCGATGTAACGTCCTAAACTGTAGAAAACTTTAGTGTAGATGCCTTAATATCCTTTGGTTGCTGGCTCACTGTTAGAAATTTTAGAAGAATATTCTGATTCCGTGACAACCAAAATTGTGTATATCCACGATCAGCAAAATATATGTGGATCAATTTGCAAAACTTAGCCCTCTCCGCTGCCAGATGTCTACTATCTACTTATGTTGTTTGTGAAGTATTTAGATTAGTTTGAGTGTGAATGTCCATAACATCTTGAAACCTAGTGCTCATGTGTGTGATCAGGAAGGCATTTTACCAAAATGCTTAAGCTTATGAATTATAGGTGAATAATGTCAATGTTTATCAAGAAATATAAACATGTCGATGTTCATGAAAAGTATATCTACATGTTGATTAGACGACGGTTTCATCTTTTATGACAGGATTACGAGAATGTCCAATCCTACATATGCAAAGCTTATGAAGGTGAACCCTCAAAGGCATGTGAAGAACTGCCCCTTATCACTACCCCAGAAGCAAAAGCAAACCAAGAACATCGTGTCTCTCGTGCTAAGATGATAATGGCTCCAGTCCAACAAGCTGACAAACACGATTTCTAGACAGAGATACTGTGCAAAACTGTAGATGAGCTTTGGAGTTTGCTTAAATTCAGGTAACTGTTGTGTTAAAATCACGAACTGTTCCCGGTGCTAAGTAACATCTCTCTTTTAAACATCAATCGCATGCGGTTATTGCGTTGGTGTGATACTGTCAATGATATAGTAGCATGCGGTTATTGCGTTGGTGTGATACTGTCAATGATATAGTAGGATGTGCGTAATGATCTAACACATTATATTTTACCATAGTGTCCATTTCTCTCCTTTAGACCGATCTGATGTCTATCAAGTTGTTCAAGCATCCAACTGTACGCAGATGCTTTTTGCTCCCTAGTTCAAGTTATAAAGAGATTGTATTTGTCATTATTGTCCTTGTTATAGATAAAGGATGTGCGTATTGATATTAGATTTACCAGAAGTATAAATGTCCACTTCTCTACTTTAAACTGATCTGATGATGTCCATTAAGCCGTTCAAGCATCCAGCTGTATATATGCTTTTTGTTCCCTAATTCAAGTTTTACGGAGTTTGTGCATGTTATCTCTTTCTCCTTGTTATGGATAAAGGATGCGTATGGTGGTATTAGATCACTAGAAGTATGTGCCCACTTACTCTCTTTAAAATTATCTATCAAGTTGTTCAAGCGTCCGACTTTGTATAGATGCTTCTTGTTCCCTAATTTAAGTTTTGAAGAGATTGTATTATGTTATTATTGTCCTTGTGGTAAATAAAGCATATTGAAAGCTTCATATAAAGTGAAAAAGAGTAAAGAGTCTGGCTTGAGTTTTAATCATGGTAATGCTATTGAGGGCGACAACATTTGCTTGATTTGGAAGCTAAATCTGCTAAAGTGCCACTCATTGCATACCAAGATAAGCATGCCACTATCTGATTCTGATGTCCTGAAAATCTTGTAATATCTTTTTCATTGTCGTTCATAATATCTTGTATCCGCAGTTGTTTTTGGAAACGGTAAGAATCCTCTTTGAGGAAATTTTGCTTTGTTATCTTTATCTTGGTAATAGAAAAGCTTACGGAATTATGCTGCCTTATGTCTTATCAATGAGCCACTTTAAAGTTTTATTAAATATTGACTAATTAGTACTTAAAATACCTTATTTTTTTCCCTTTTCTTTCGTTATTTTTTTCCCCATCCATCTTGCACTTGTATACTCTCACTTGTTTTTTGCTATCGGTTATATTACCCTGAAGTTTCTAGAAGGTGCAGTTTAATTTATTATGCAAACTTGATAAATTTGCTTTGAAATTTTTCACGTGACACTCACAAGCTAATGTTAGAACTTCTTAGCCCTTAGTTTATTAAATTCAGTGTTAAATGTATGGTACTTCTATTTTAGACATACACTGGGTATATTTAGAAGGCTAAATTGCATTAAAATACCTTATGTTTCACTCATTTAGCATGTATATACCCTCAGTTATTTTTCGGAGCAATTATATTCCCTGAGTTGTCTAAAACTAGCACTTTAGTAGTAACCCTCCGTTATGCGACAACAAAAAATTTCACATGAAAGTTCCCATAATAACATGTACACATTAATTTAGAGCTTTTCAGTCATTAATAATTGTTAAATTTATTGTTAATCCTATCCAAATTTTAATTTAAACATATTGTGATTCTATTTAGGAAATAAAATTTGGATAGATTTAACAGTAATTTTAGCAAATTTAATAGTTAGAAAGTTATAAAATTAGCATGAATGTTATAAGAGAATTTCTAATAAAAATTTCCACACTTGCATAACATATGATACTAAATGCTAATTTTAAACAACTCAGGTATATAAATGCTCCAAAAACCAATGGGTGGTATATAAGTGCTAAATTAGTGAAACATGAGATATTTTAGTGCAATTTAGCCTATTCAAAATAGAATTATTGCATGCTAGCCGTAAATTGTTCAAAAAAAATTAAGGTATAAAATTAGCTTGTGTGTTATCCATGGAGGATAGCGGAAATGGTCGGGTTCACTCTTCAACTCGGCCGAAAGTTGCGCCAAGAGATAATCATACACAGCCTTGCAAGTCATCATCGCCTCCACTTTACCGAGGACGCTACAACGGTATCCCTCGACAATTTCCGATCGATGAGTCTCAAAATCCAGATGAGTAATACGGTTTTGAGCCTAGGTTAAAGAGGACTCGCATTGAGCACTATCCTCCCGGAGTTTCTTGTGAGCCAACCGCTCCTCTTCCAGCTCGACTTTTAGGCGCTGGGCGGAGTGGTGGTCGGACTCGGTCTTCTCCATAGCACGATCCCTCTCTCGCCTCCCTCGCGACACCTCATCGGATAAAAATTTTATCCTCTTGTTCCGCTCATGGAGTTCGTGCTTGAGCTTATCAATATCAACATATTTCTCGTTATCTAAGGCATTTAAGGTGTCGATCATGCTCTCTCGTACCTCCATTTCCCTACGCTAATCGCCCAATTCATTCTCCTTCGTCGACAGCGACCGAAGGGCATTTTCCAAATTGGTCTTCTGGGCGGCCGACTCCTCCTAATGCTTAAGGTACAAAGCTCAGACTTGCTCCATTTGGCCAAATATCTCTTGCTCCACTAGAGCCCCACGAACTAGATAGCTCATGAGGTTTAGATACAGACTGACATATGAGACTTCCTTAAAAATCTCTTCGTCGTGGGGAAGCCAAAGCCGCTCCACCGCATTCGACTAAGCAACCAAAGACTCAAGCACCGACGCCCTCGCATCTAGATGACAAGTAGTCTGGTATATTTTTCAGAGTCGGCTCCTTCTCATATCAATGGTCAACTTTGGGAGATCCTATCAGTTGCATTCTCAATTGGTCCCATGTTTTAGAGTCGATCTCGTCGACACGATGAAGATATGACCATCCACACTCTTTGGAAGGAGATACCCCCTTGGCAGCCAGCTCCTTCCCTTGGCAATGAATTGACTCGGCCAAAGCATCTGGGGCCCTTTCGCCCCTTGTTGGGACCTCTGTCTCCACCGGAATATCGCCTCTCCCTAGAGCCCCAGTCTCGGCCTAGACCCTCTGAAGGTCGACCCCTTCTTCTCGGGCTGGGGACCCATCATCAACACGGACGTCTTTGGTCTCCGCCTCAATTGCCCTCCTAGGTCCCTGGCCTCTTTGGAAGGAGATACCCCCTTGGCAGCCAGCTCCTTCCCTTGGCAATGAATTGACTCGGCCAAAGCATCTGGGGCCCTTTCGCCCCTTGTTGGGACCTCTGTCTCCACCGGAATATCGCCTCTCCCTAGAGCCCCAGTCTCGGCCTAGACCCTCTGAAGGTCGACCCCTTCTTCTCGGGCTGGGGACCCATCATCAACACGGACGTCTTTGGTCTCCGCCTCAATTGCCCTCCTAGGGCCCTGGCCGCTAATTTTCTTCAGCTTCCTTCTCTTCTCGACCTGACCGATCGCAGGCGACAGACCCGCCAACTTAGCAGCCACATCAGCTGAATCAAACCTTCCGTATAACGACCTCAGTTGTGGTAGCGCCACCTTCGAGTGGAACATCTCCAACTAACCCTGACGAGTGTTAAGAGTGGAGGATGCCATCGAAATATTCTTAGAAAATCATCGGAAGAAGAAAAAGACCAAAGTTCTCTTTTTCAGTTAAGATTCGAATATTTTCATAAACAAACAAATCTCTCCTCACAACCACCGTACTTATAGACAGCTGGATCGGCAGATGTTAACATCCCAATGACCGGATCAGTTTCAAGTTAAGATTAACTCCAGAATTTGAAATGACCTCTTTAAAATCGAGGCAATGCACGCCTACCTTAAGTAGCCCACAATCAAGCACGAAAGGCGAGGCGACGATGGCTATGAGATATCCTCTGACGTAAGCCAAGTTACTTCCAAGAGACTTTTCAGCCATCCCTCATTAATGCACCTCGTGACTCAGCAAATCTACAATCTCATTTCACTTGGACCTGGCCTAAACCGACTCCAAGTGAAAGAAGCCAACTATTATACCCCTAAAAATACTAAATATTAATCTCCACAGAGAAGTCGACACGTGTCTTACACTATATCTAACCTGACTAATTCAAGACCAAGGTAACATCCGCCTCAACACAACCGACTTGATTGGCCGACATCTCGCGTAACCGAGTCAAAAGACGGTACTACTCGGCCAACCCCTCAATTGATTCCATAAGCGACCTGACTTGGCCCACTATTTAGCTAATATCTTGCATAACCGAGTCACAAGGCGGTACTTCTCGGCCCTGAACCTGAGGAGTCGAAGGACGATAGTTACCTCGAACCCCTTGCCAGCCGACTACTCTCACATTGACTGTCCTGACAACATCATCATTGCTTTAGCCCCCATATCCTTTATGACTCATCGGACCCAGTGAGCACCAAGCACCTGCTGTCATTCCCACAATAAATAACCAGGTGACTCACTTCCTTCAGCAACTGACATGTAGCACATGTCTGTCGACTCGGCTACCTAGCTAGACTCAGTCCAAGTTACTTTCTTGCCCCTCAGATCCACTATAAAGGGAGTGGCACTGCATGATGTAATGTTCTCTGATTTTTTTATGTAACTAAGAGTAAACTCTATACATCCCCACTCAAAATCACCTACTAACTTGATCGTCGGAGGAACAATCAGAGAACCCAACTCTGCCCTCTTACGAGTTTCTTTATATGCAGGGAAGAAGAGCAAGCCTTAGAACCATTCATCAGGAGGAGTTAGAGGACCCTAATCATTCCACAAACTCTCAGATAATCCCATGTTTGATAACTGACATCAACAGTTATGCATATGAAATTTCTCAAAGTTGTTTAATATAAAGTATTAAAGTGTAACTTTTAGAAATTTTAGGGTTTATTGTTACCGTAAAAGACAAGTGAGGATATATGAGTGTGTGAAATAAGAAAACTATAAGCTATTTGAGTGCTATTTAGCCTTAGATATTAGTTTATAACTTATAGCTCCTCATATTTTATTTGCCCAGAGTTCTCATTCTGTTCCTAGTCTTATTGTCTATTTTCAAATTTCAAGTGTCAAAAGGTCCAACTATAACACTTTAAAAATTCAAAAAAAATTAATAATAACACTTTAAAATTTCAAAAAAAGAAAAGTATGGTGTCCGAGACAAGATGTACATTTTGATATATTTTGATACATATTGATAGTCTTCGAGCTTTATATGTGGAGCATTGCACAAACAAGTCGTTGATTTTTTGTGATATCCGAGAGAGGATGGTGGTCTACTGTTAGTCATTTCAATTGACCTTTAATAATCATAAAAAAATTGTGATAACTGGCTCTAGTTCAATGTTCTTTCTGCCATAAGCTTTATCAATCTTGTTCAATCTTTAGAATGATCTGCTTTTTTGGTGATCTAGATTGAACTTTGATTAGTCAAAATGCATGAAATTGGGCAACTGGGTCTAGTTCAGGAATCCAATTTCGTGAATAC